TCACATGCTTTCTGAGACTGTGGCGTGAAAGTTGCGGATGACGTGTGGCTGAAGCTATAATTGTGGCATGTGGCTTGTGGCTTGTGTCTATATGCCGCGCTTCTTGGCCGATAATCACTTGTTTCAGTCCTGTGTCTATCACACAATCCCAATCATCCTCCTCCTTCCAACACTGGTTCCGGTCCAAGCTGGCAAAACCCACAGCCAGATTGGCTATGGTATCCAATTCCTCGAAAGAAAGAAAAACGGGGATGGATATTGAACAAGATGTCCGTCCGGACTCTTGCAGGAGTCGTCGTCGTCGGCGAAAACAACTTCAGAAACGACTGTGGTGAGATCAGGCATCGACCTTCTATCGGGAAAGCCCTGGCCTGCAAGCACCCTTTTCCAGCCCGAGACCAGCCTGTACTCCAAGAAAAATCATTGTGTTGTTACAGTGAAGGAGGGTCGCCAGTTCTCCTAGGTATGTGTTGCGAGATGAAGTCGGGCAGGAATTCTACCCTTCGCTGCCACCGGCGACATCGGTTACAACCGCGTCAGCAACGTCTGTGACCGTCGCGACATCGGTGACAGCAGCATCGGCAGCGGTGTCCGTGGCCGTGACCGTCTCGACGGCTGCAGTGTCGGTGCTCACAGCAGCAGTGTCTGTTGCAGTCGCAGCGGCAGTCTCTGAGCTCGCGGCGGCTACAAGTGAAACGAGTCAGTAGGGATCGGCTACCTTCAGTGCGAGGTCATCTTACCAGTTGTGTTGGCCTTGCCCTTGCCCTTCTTGCCTTGCTTACCCTGCTTGCCCTGTTTGCCCTGGCCCTTCCCGTTGTTTTTGGCCTGCTCCAGGAGGCCGGCGAGGTCGACCTGTCCTCCGGCCGCGGCATTTCCAGCTCCAGCAGCACCGTCGCCATTGAGGTCAATGCCCAGTTGCCCCTCGAGATCGGCGACGAGCTGATCAATGAGACCTTGAGCCCCGCCGTTTGCCTTTCCGGTATTGGCCTTTCCGGCGTTGGCCTTGCCGCCATTGGCCTTGCCGCCATTCTCCTTGCCCTGGCCCTTGCCGTTGTTACCGTTGGCCGTGCCGTTGTTGGCGTTTTCCGTTCCGTTCACGACAGCTGCGGCTCCATCGTTGGCTACCTCGGTGACGTTGCCGGCAGCTCCCTCGGCCTGGCCTTTACTTTTGCCGTTCTCCTTGGCAGCACGGGCATGGATGGCGAGTGCAGGAGCACGTGCGACATTCCCCTCATGGGGAAGCGAAACCACATATGAGGCCGACACCGCCAGCAGGGCGAGGACTGTTCCGAAGTTCTTCATGTTGAGATGTAACGAGGGTTGGTGGAGAAGTGAAGATGTTGATTTGCAGGTCGAAGATAATCCAATGAGCGCAGCTATGGTGCTTTGTCAGTGGGTTCTGCCATATCGAGCCTCATCGTGCCTCAGCAGCGCAACATACCTCGGTAAGTATAACAAATACGACGAAGAGAACGAAGTGCGTACAAGGAAGGGACCTGCCGGAGGGAAGAAATATTGCAACAAAGAAGAACAGCTACTTGGGGAGTCGGATGAGGACGAACGAGAGAAGCTGTGAGAATCATGCAGACGGCACTCAGTCTTATACCAGCAGATCTGATCCACAGGCCAGGGGTGTGTTCGAGCCCTCGTCGAACCAAGACATGGTTAAGTCGAACAAGCATTTTAGTCACGGAAACTGCTGGGCATCTGGAAGGAGAGAAAGGTCCAGTTACAGGCACAGAACTCAGGCATTGAGGTGATCAGTGAATCAATCAATCACGGCGATCAGGATCGCCTGATACACGCCAAAGACGGGGTATGAACCCAGAAGCAGGGAGCTGGTGAGCATGGCTCGGCTGTGTACTTTGGCGCCCAGAGTTCCTGTCCCTGCTGCGATGGTGAACTTCCATGGGGTGCTGATCGAGAATATGGTGTTTACCGGGAGATTCTAGGCTTGCTGCGATGCTCTTACAGACGATCACACATATGAATCCCGGTCCGAGTCTAAACTCTCAATCAGAGCAGCACTTTGGGTGGGGCTGCAGGGGGTTTCAGACAGTGGCTCAAACACCACTCAAGCTCCACGACAAGGACTGTTCATGGTGTAAGAATAGAATGTCTGCCTGTGACATCAAAAACGCCGTGCTTCCAACTACCGCAAGCATGGTAGTATCCTGGCTCTAGCCTCTGGACGTGTTTGACAAGGTCTAGCCAGCGTGGTCATGTTTGAGGCTCTCCCTGTCTCGCTCGGCGGCCTGCGCATCGAAGCTCCAATATTCGTACCCGTCGCCTTTCGGAACTCACTATCCATGAGAGAATGACAGGACCATGGTACGGCATGTTTATCAAATCATTCAAATGATAATCCCAACCCCAACTGAAGATGCTGGATATCGCCTAACGTTGAGACAGGTAGCATGAAACAACCTCCCTCCCCCAGCCAGGTGACTGCATATCCCGGTCGCGGCTATCGCACAGCCACGCTGGCGTAGACATGATTATCCGTCCATGGCATCCGTTGTGGAGCAAGTCCTCAGCTTGTAACACAGCGGCACTCCTGTCACCAATGTCAGCAACTAAGACTTATAGAGGAAAAGAGCGAGCAGCAACGCGTACAGGAGCACCACTTCCAAGACTAGGCCGGCGCGCAACGTGGCTTTCAGAACTATCGCAATGGCAAAATCGCGATGGCTCTGACACAACTCTTTGGTCGAGACCCAGCGGTTTGGCCAGGATAGAAGCGAAAAGCGCTCCCAAGGGGTTCGCGGCGACGACCGTGGCGAGCGACGCCAGTGTGGCGAGGATGACACGGAAGAAGAGCATGATGCTTGAAAACTACAAGTGTAGTTGAAGGATAGCCTCAAATAAGTCAAGCGTGTCGCGGCTCGAGACAGCAGGAACATTGAGCTCCGCGTCTGTCAGCAAGGCAGTCATCCTCCTTCTTATAGACTCGCAACGCCAAACTTTGTGCCATCTTTCAGCTCCTCAATCCTTCCCGTCACCTTCATGTACGAGCCAATACCCAGCCAGGCAAATACGCCTCTGCAAAGAAGTGGCCGACATCAGCAATCTGTCTTATACGCCAAGTCACCGACATAGGATGACGAGAGACTCAAAATTCTTGGCTCAACATAGAGCACGGGCTACAACATACGCGACACCTCATCGTGTACGGTACCCATCGCTAAATCCTTCAGCGCGCTTGTTCCTCATAACTCCGCCGTTCGGGAAACGACCATATGACGAGATATAGGATTCACAATTAGCTTTCGTGGACGAATCAGTATGAGCCTGTCTGCCTGACTTGTGCAACCAGAAGAAACTCCGCCGGCAATTCGGTTGACGTCCTTTGGCACGTGGATGAGTCGAGCAGTCCCGCACAGGAGATGGACTGGCAAACAGTCACGTCCTATACACAGAGGAACAACTACTGAGACTACCCCAGCTCTTGTACATGTTCGATCGATTAGGAGGCTTCAGCCTCAATAACCATCCTCGCACTTCTATAGGACTCGCCCTCCCGACAAGAGCGCATGCCCCCATCGATGAGGACCCAGCATCTTCTGCCAGCTCCATAGGCAACCACGATCCGGCCCTCGTCCTATTCGCATCTCATTAGCCAACCTTGACTCCTGACTCCAAGTTGCGCTGAGCCAAACACTTACGTTCTTCTGAACACAGGCACAACCGATACCGCGGCGTATCATCTCCGGTTCCTCGCACTCCTCCAAGGATGTCACCTCGCCGGGACCTGCCCCCTGTTCGTCAGCTACATGGCTGGCCGGTGCTGGAACACTCACTAAGGCGGTATGCTCACCATCGCGACATATGCTGTGGCCCGGATCGTCAGGGTTGTCGACCAACGCACCACAGCAGTATGGCACGAGCTCCTCCCTGCAAGTCATGGGCGGTGTATGCGGGGATGTTGAGTGCCATGACAAGACAGCTTGTTGCACCGGCGTTCCCCTGTTCGATCCGAGAACGAATGAGGGAGACGCCACCACGAGCAGAACCGTCGCTTTTGCTGCGGCCGAAGAGTGGACTGCGCATCGCGGCCAGAGACGAGGGGAGGTAACGGATACTCAGATTTGCTATCCAACCTACATGTCTGCCGCGTCGTAGACTCCAATCGTGTGACAGCAAAGTTGCATCTATCTGAATCGAGTGACAAAAAGGGGAGGAGATGTATATGCAACGCTCGACCAGAGGAAGCTCCCAAGATGCTGTGTAACTCGGGGGTCGGGACATTTAACTGCAGAGGAGTTGGCCCAGTGGCGATAAAAAAACGCAGTCTAGACCTACAGGACTGACCCAGCGACTATGAGTGGTCACATTTCCATGTTGGCACGAAGTAGCATCCCCGATAATGTTCAGCGATATGATTGGAAATGTGCTCCAACCCAACCAACTGCATCACCAATGCGCCTCATAGCACCATAGACACACTCGAGTTTGTCTTCCTGCCAGTCTCCCGGTACCTTTCGGAAACAGGACAGAACCGTGATTCGCGAGTGCTGGGACACCGTCCACCCGTCTGGGTTGGCCCAGCGTGGTTTGTAAGTGCAATTTAGTACGCCACGAGGCCGTTGGCCGGAGCACACACGGATTTTTGATATAGCCAGACAACACACTAGCCACTGACCTTTAACATACGGTTGCTCAATCCATAGCGAACAAGCATCGGGATATATGGATCGAGACGTCTCTCCGCGATGGCTCGACGACGCACATGGTTATGTGAGACAGGTAGCTACGAGTGGAAACATCAGCAAGACACCAGCCTGTTCCGTTAACGGGGAGCGAGAAACGCTGCGTTCGGGGAAGGTTGCGGCTCACATTGTTACCAAACGATCCAGCCATGACCTGAAATCTCTCGTAGCAAAGCGTTCTTCACGCAATGATGATTTGGAGAGGAACAAGTGATACAGAGTGAAAGCTAACTTGTCGTGTCAAACGTCAAGCATTGAAGAAGAAAAAAGAGAAAAAAAGGCAAAAGTGAAAGGTCGTGCCCGGATTCGAACCGGGGTCCCCGGAATCAGAATCCGATGTGCTAGGCCAACTACACTACACAACCGTGAGTGGATATGCTTGGATGATGAGATCGCTCGTAAAGTTTGTTATATGGGTTCCAGCTCAAAAGCGAACAGAGTGCCTCGGCTGGTGGGTGGCTCGTGCTCACTTTGAAGTGCAGGCACTAACACTATCGTCGCAAATCTCCCTACTGAACTGTTAGCACGACTTTTCGTGTGCCTTCTGCATTCCCTTCCTGTCAAGTCCCTTGCCAGTTCAATTCATCTCATTTCATCCGTCTTGACAACCTTATTTTCGTAATCGTGTGTCCGATATCTCCTTCGATACACGGCTGGATAAACTCAACAATCTCTATGCCAACCAATCGACAGAGCTTGGAACCTCAATATGGGATCGGATCAATGGCCATTGCCTCGGGAAATCGAAGACTTCTCCCGCGTTTCCACGCGTATTGACACGAGGGCTCGTTGAGACAGCTTTGTTATTAGCAACACAGCTCTCATCCGACTCCATCCAATCCCCCTTCAGTACCGCGGTCGGCGGATCCTTTCAAAGTTGTCAACTCCCGACATTCATTCGGATGGAAGATTGGCGTAAGGCTGATGCCAGGCTCGTCCTCATTGGCCCTGCAAGTGCAGACCTCGCAAATTCGTTGCAGCATTCGCGGGCTTTGTGGGATTCCCGCCTCGCATACACGAGTCACACAGCGGGGAGACGAGCCTCAGCAAGCTCACCTTACCCCGTCCAGAGTGACCAGTGGTGTGCTGCTATCTGACCTCCAAGCGGTCCCGGTGCAGCCGGGCTGAGAACGCCCAAGGAAGCATACGAGAACGCTAAACAGTCAAAGCTAAAGGTACATCACGCTTGGGATCATCAGATGCTGGTATCATCAGATTCCGGTTATCCAAAGCACAAGAGGAGGAATCCGAAAAACAAAAGCAAAAGAAAAGCATGTTGTCAGCGAAGTGCCTGCAGGAAGCCAGCGAGACTTCAGCCATTCAGGGTCGGAATGGCGGGAAATCCTGCTTTTTGCATTGGCGGGCCGCAATGACGAGCCCGGGCCTCCCACCAGCCAAGACCACGAGATCTTGGGTTATCGAACTTATCGCGCCTGGGCAGTGGGATGCAAGTTGCATGTTCTGTCCAACGTCATACACACACTATTTCTCAAACCCACCCGGTCACCGCCCGGTCCGTCTGGCTATAAGCCTATGATTGAACCTCTCCGGTGTCTCTTCCCATCTGGTCTGCCGCTTCATCTCTTCTCTCCGCGTCGCAGTATTAATTATAGGCGATCCTGGCTTATACCGTCTCACTCCTCTGTCTTGCCTAAACTGCCACGCTACCCTATAATATACGACAGAATGGATCGCAACAACAAGGGGCCTTCATTGGCCTCGCCAACACAGGAGACTGGCAAGCCGGCACCGGTTCCCAAGCTGAGGAGGAAGTTGCAGAAGGTTAAGCGGCCCGAATCAGGCGAGGTACCGAACTATAAGTCTACAAACCGCAATAAATTCGATACGCCGCCCAGGATCTCACTGCCGACACATCTGCGTCCCGACCTGAGCGATTCCAAGTGGTCAGAGTACCTCCGGAGCAGTGGATATCTAGGAACCACGCCGCTGGACAACTCAAGTTCACCCGAACCACACAAACAACGCAACTCACCCACTCCGCCTCAGGACGGCGACTTCTCTGTCAAGCCTCCCGCCGCCAACGTTCCTGAACTTTCATATCTCAGTTCCCCAGCGAGCCATGACACGCCACGCTCTTCCGTCGATAGCACCAGTGAATCCTCTGATGCGTCAGCTGCGTCAATGAGACGGCGCGCAAAGACGCCTGTTTTCCACATCGGACAGCTTGAGGCAAGGGCTCGCGCTCGGAAACTGGAAGCGGCCAACAAGAGAGCGGCCGAGATGAGAGAGGCTATGGATGACGCATGCAGACTTCCGGCGCGTTCGCACAGGAGCGACCCACCAAAGCCGATGGGCGGAGAACCCGGGTCTGACGGGGGCAATGTCACTCTGAGGCAAACGAACACGGAGGAGGTCAGCACTGGAAACATGACTCTCAGGGAGACGAACATAAAGGGGGTCATCATCGACGACGCCTCACGTACTCCTCAGGCCAAGGCAAGCATCCAGGAAAGGCGCGTGAGCACCACGGCTGAACTCACCGTCACATCTGAATCCTCCAAGATCAACCACATTGCGGAGTCCTACAGGGCCCTTATCGGAGCCGAAGACCCATCCCGCTTCATCGACTCGCGGCCAGAGACACCATATTCTTTTTCCCCAGGCAGGGAGGTGCTCACGATCCGGCACAAGCGCAGATCAGGCGACCTGCGGAGAGACTCGCAAACATTCGAGCACGCAGCCGAAGACGAGCTGCCGCAAAGCTCACCAGCTGCATCGGACGGCACGCTGGTCGCCTTTGACGAGGAGACGATCTACTTCAAGCCCATGTCGCCGTTATCGCCAAAAATGGAGAATGAATCACCGGCTGGGGTTATGCCGTCGCCGACGCCGAACAATATAGGGTTGAAGATTTGCGTCGATTTGCTTGGGAAGGATCTCGCCTCTGCCGTTACCAGGACTGAGCAGTTGGAAGATCCGCCCGAGTCTGCCGCGCTGCAGATATGGACCATGATAGAAGCTTATGAGAAGCTGCGGGACCGGGTTATGGATATTGGGCTGAGGTATGATGAGGTGTTGAGCTTGCAGCAGAGCATTGAGACGTGGTTGGGCGGGTTATATGCTGCTCACGAGCGATTGACGGGGACTGATTCTGGACGTGAGCAATGAGGATGAGCGGTGTAGTGTCTAGATGCGACGTGGGCTCCTCCTGATACCCCTGCAGCACTAGGGAGATATTCTCCTTTGTTTCGAGGCTGGGAAATGGGAGGATATTACACTGGGGGATCTAAGGGGACATGTGGGAGTGGGAATGACATGATACCACTTGCTTTTGGGCGTTTTCTTTGGTGGTGGATGGATGGGCGCTGTATGTATTGGTCTGTAGGTCAGTCACTCGGCTGTGACGCCTTCCTTCCTTTTGTATCTGTCACTGGCGCATTGGGGCCTACGTCACATATATTACTGCTTAACGACTTTGAGCAATAAGATACGTCAATGTTGAAGCTTTCAGAGTTCGGTACTCGACTTCCGCCCGTTGCGCTGGTGACGACACTGCTCCAACGCTCAATGCGCTAAACCCGTTTAGGCTGTGTCTGTGGGCCACTTTAACTAGGTCGACCGCGACCACCTTGAGCTCTCCCAAGTTCAGTAACCGAACAACGAACAGCACCTGGTGACTCCTGATTTCACCATCGCGTCGCCAAAATGGACGATGACTTTGGAGCAGACGACGACTTCATAGCTGCTCTGGCAGCGGCGCCAGTACCAGCTCGCCCACCGCCGCCTACCCAGCCGTCATCGTCCCGGCCGAGCCAGCCAACACCGCAAAGGATACAGCAACCGACTCCTCAGCGCCTCGACAAGGCCCCTCCGTCTACCGCTTCGGGCTCGAAGATAGTCCAACCCACGCCACAGGCCTTACCGTCTCGATCGGCCGGGTCTTCTATCCTCGTATCGCCGAGGCAGAAGGGCAACCCGGTCCTGGCAAACATCAAGTCGATGCCGTGGGAATACAGCGACATACCCGCCGACTACGGCCTGGGACTTACCACCTGCGCGCTCTTTCTCAGGTACGCCCTTTCATCTTCTGTTGCTCACCTATCTTGAATACAAAAACTAACTCTTCCCTCCACGGCACAGCCTAAAATACCACCGCCTCCACCCGGAGTACATCTACACCCGCATCCGCAACCTGCAAGGCAAATTTGCGCTGCGCATCCTCCTGACCATGGTCGACATCCCCAACCACGAGGACTCCCTGCGCGAGCTCGCCAAGACCTCCCTCGTGAACAACGTGACCGTGATCCTCTGCTGGTCCGCCGCCGAGGCAGCGCGCTACTTGGAACTATATAAATCCTACGAGCACCAGACAAAAGGCGGGTTTGCCGCTATCCGCGGACAGCAGGCTACGGGTTACGCCGAAAGACTCGTCGAGTTCGTCACCGTGCCGAGGGCGATAAACAAGGCCGACGCTGTGGCGCTGGTGGGGACGTTCGGGAGCTTGAGGGAGGCGGTGAATGCGGATGCCGAACGCGTGGGACAGGTGGGCGGGTGGGGAGAGAAGAAGGTCAAGGCTTGGAGGAGGGCGGTAGAGGAGCCGTTCCGGATTAAGAAGGCTGCTGCTAGAGGGGGGAAGGATAAGGGGAAGGGGGGCGAGGCCGTGCCGATCTCGAGGGTGCCGTTGAGGGAAATGGCGGGGAGAAGTGAGAGTCAGAGTGTGGGGGAGGGGCAGGTTGTTGGGCTTGCGGCGGCTGCGAAGTCGAGTCAGAGACGGCAGAACGAGGAGGAGGAGGAGGCCATGATCGCTGCTGCTATTGAGGCTTCGAAGAAGACGGCTGCTGCGGAAGGAGTGGGGGATGCTCCTCCGGTTGAGAGGCCGAGGAATGAGGAGTTGGGCGAGGGAATTGCGGCGGCGCTGGCGAAGCTCAGGCAAGGGGGATGAAGGGGCCGAGTTACTGATGGATTTGATCCGACGTTCAGTTCGGACTTCTACTCAGCACCGCGTCCAGCGCCCAGCAGCCGCCCCTCCGCGGGAGAAACACAGGAGCAAGTGCTCTGGTCACTCAACGTTACCTGTGGTCAGGCGGGGCGCGGATTACTGCGGGGTGATTCGCGGAGGAACAGCAAGGCGTGTCTAGGTCGATACGATGCCGCATCGGATTGCAGGTCAAGACCTCCGCTCCGCTCCTGCAGGATGTTGTACGCATCCACTGCCGGTACGGGCTCTGGAGTTTGGGGCAAAGCTTACTTATGGGCTTATTCGAAGGCCAGGGGGTCAGTACTAATATTCCTCTGGGCAGCACGGCAGCACAGCAGCGGGCGAGGAGAACACTTGGCCACGAGATTTGGGCAAGAGGACAAGCTTATATGATAGTGCGTGGTGCTACTTCGTACCAGAGAACTC